GCGGGTTCATATCCCGGCTGCGGCGGCTGCATTTCCGATGGAGGCGGAAATGTTGTAGGCCCGTGTGCTCAGATTTGGGTGCACGTTAAAGAACCCCAGGTGGTCGAAATTTCCGGAGCCCTCCACTACGGCGTCTCTCATAATCATATAGTGGTTTTGGGACGTTAAACCCCACATATCAATCGAGTTTAGTTTTCAAGGAGAGACTTGGCCGCAAGGTTATGTTTTTTGGGATAAATCTTCTACTTTTCGAGCAGTCAGCGGCACGGCTTTGTGTCCAGTAGGTGTGTGCACTGTGTCTGTTTGTGTTGCTGGTAAAGCGTTCAAGGCAGAATGTGCAGTGCTCACTCATTCCATGCATGACGTTATCCTTGGAATTGACTTCTTGCAAGAGTGCCGTGCGACTGTCGACTGCGGGGCAGGCGAGGTTCTGTTGTCCACCCTCGCCCAGCAGCCTCAGCGTTGCGGAGACGACAACCTCGTTGTAGTTAAAGACACTATTCTACCGGCATGGTCTACTGCCAGCGTGCCCGTTGCTGCTTCGAATGCCGACTCGAGTTTCAGTTCTCCTGATATTGTGATTGAGCCGTTGCCTTTGCCTTGCATGAAGAAATACATCTTTCTGCCGCGCTGCGTTGTGTCTCTCACCGAGGGAAAAACTAAATTATGGGTAGTTAACTGCTCATCCGAGTCTGTTGTACCACCAGAGGGAATGCGCCTTGCCATGTTTGAAGGGCAGTGCAGTATCTGCATAGGAGTTCTCAGCAATGCGGCAAATTCGGACTATACTGATGTATCCGGCACGGAATACGAATTTTATAAGATGGTTAGCAAGTCTATTCCCTCGCATAAGCGCAACGTGTTGGTTACACTGCTGGCCAGGCACGCTAATGTATTTGATTTTGCACGGAAGTCGCATAGACCTCAGACGCCCAGCACACGCACTCGTCACAAGATCGACACCGGATTTGCGCACCCCCTCAGACAGAAACCTTATCGAGTTTCCGCGTCAGAGCGCAAGGTAATTTCAGAGCAAGTCAGCGAGATGCTAACCTCTGGCGTAATTCAAGAATCGTCAAGTCCCTGGGCCGCGCCTGTTATCTTGGTCAAGAAAAAAGATGGGTCCTGGAGGTTCTGCGTTGACTACCGACGTCTCAACTCTATAACTAAGAAGGACGTGTACCCGCTTCCTCGCATCGATGATTTCATCGACTGCCTGCATTCAGCGTCCTATTTTTCATCGGTGGACTTGCGATCCGGGTATTGGCAGATCCCCATGGATCCGGCTGACAAAGAAAAGATGGCGTTTGTTACACCCGACGGTCTGTTTGTGTTTAATGTTATGCCATTCGGCTTGTTCAATGCCCCCGCCACATTTGAAAGATATATGGACACCGTTTTACGGGGCCTCAAATGGGAAATTTGCCTGTGTTACCTGGACGATGTGGTGATTTTTGGCCGAACATTTGAAGAACATAATCATCGCCTTGACCTCATTCTAACCTGTCTCGAGGAAGCTGCGCTTACACTGAACTCAAAAAAATGTCGCTTTGGAGAACGTGAAACCTTGGTTCTGGGACACCTGCTGGATAAAAATGGCGTGAGACCGGACCCGCAGAAAGTCGCCGCTGTCAGCAACTTCAAGCAGCCGCAGTCCCCCAGGGAGTTGCGTAGCTTCCTGGGCCTGTGTTCTTACTTTCGTCAATTTGTTCCGAATTTTGCTGATAAAGCACAACCACTGACTGACTTGCTGCAAAAGGATGTCCCTTTCCACTGGACACCGGATTGCGAAGCAGCCTTTAAGCAGCTTCGGTTCATACTGACTTCAGGACAGGTACTACGCGATTTCGATCCTTCTGCTGAAACGGAAATTCACACAGATGCCAGTGGAATCGGCCTTGGTGCAGTGCTCGTTCAGCGCCATGACAATGCTGAACACGTGGTCGCTTACGCGAGTCGTTCGTTGAGCAAGGCAGAACGAAATTACACAGTCACAGAACAGGAGTGCCTCGCAGTCGTTTTCGCCGTGTACAAGTTTCACCCATACATCTACGGCCGTCACTTCTCGGTAATCACCGACCATCATTCTCTATGCTGGTTGGTAGGCCTCGGAGACCCATCTGGACGACTGGCGCGATGGGCTTTGCGCTTACAGGAGTTCGACTTCACAGTACGCTACAAGAGCGGTAACCGGCACGCAGACGCCGACTGCCTATCGCGCCTTCCTCTACCGACGACTGAGTGCGACGCTGACAACTTCGACCAGTATATCGGCGCTATTGCCTCTGAGTTCCCTGATCTCGCGACTTTCCGGACAGCCCAACAAGAGGACCGCTCCTTAGATTTTCTGTTTGCCTCCGCAAATGAGCACACAAACCCAAGCTATTTTGTGGTTCATGACGGCGTCCTTTACAAGAAGAATTATTCCGGACAAGGCGCCGGTCTGCTATAAGATACGGAGCGATAGCAGGCGTCGTAACGTTTCTTAGAACGCTGCTGGGATGCCAAGGTTCAGAGGCGTGCGATGCGACGGGCTTCTTCTGCGCGGCAGAGCGTCACGGCTATCGAGGTTTCCACGTCTAGTGTAAAATGTAGTATAGTGTCGAGACAAAATCGTGGGGAGCGAGCGTACAGCAGGTAAAATGGAGAGTAATTTGTAGTCTCATGCTTCGCGGTATTGTACGCGTACGTGATGTAAGGTAGCACTTCGTCCCAGTTTTTGTGCTTAGAATCGACATAAATAGACAGCATGTTCGTGAGAGTCCAGTTCGTGAGCTCTACGAGACCATTGGTCTGCGGGTGATATGGTGTGGCATGGCGGAAATGGCAGGCAGACAGACGCAGGATCTCTTCAACGACGTCGGCAACGAACTGACGTCCGTGGTCGCTAATGACAACGCGTGGAGGACCATGGCGGAGAATTATACAGCGAAGCATAAATAAACGCGTTCCATTGTCACAATATGCAGAAGATTTGTAAGAGAATGTGTACATGAATGCGTAGGAGAATACGTACACGAAGAGTATCTAGAAGAATTTGTAGCAAAATTGTAGCATAATTTGTACACAATAATGTAGAAGTGAGTGCACGAGTATGTAAGAGAATTGTGTAAGAATGTGTAGACTGACAATAAGTAGGAGAATCGTAGGAGAGTATGTACACGATAAATATGCAGAACTTGTAGGTGAATTGTAGGAGCAATGTCCTTCAGGACTGAAATAAAGTTTTTTCATTCCATTCCATTGTACTAGAATATGTAGGAGTGAGTACACGAATATGTACGCCTCCATAACAATCAAGAGTGCCATGCTCAAATCAGCTAATGGCTGATAGAATCACTGTGACCAGTGATTTTTGAACTTGTAGCGTCATTTGTCGGGAGAAGAGAAAGCAACTTTTAAACAACTTTTAAAATATATTGTGATTATCCGGCTGCGTGATGTGCTATATTTGGCCCGTGTGGTCACACAAGCCTTCACTACCGATCTACAGTGTTTTATGACCATGCTCAAAAAGAATTGCAGGGTTCCAAAGACTATTCCTTCTTAAAAAAATTAATTTTAATGGAGGGTGCGGCAGAGGTGCGTGAAATAACGAAGATAATAAAAGGAAAAATGATACAATACTTGCACTTCAAAATGCCTTATTGTTTAAGGTCAGTTATTTTGTTCATGAAATACCTCAGGATAAAACCGGATTGGCAGCCACTATGAGCGTTATTGCATCAATTTCTGCTCAAAACGTGCGAAATAAATTCTACGAGTGGACAATGCATGGGCACAATATTTGTTGGCAATGCCTACGTTATCAAGCTTAAACGTTTATTGACATTTTGCGTTGGCGTCAGTTAATTTCCTTCTCCTCGACTAGCTTCAACACTAGCTAAGAAGGGAAGATGTTTGATGTTCGGAATGGGTCCCCTCGATGACTCGAGAGCACGGTGGCAGCGCGAAGGAAGAGCCGTAGTCCGGTGAAGAGACGCTTTATTGCAGCCTCAGGCGACTGCCCAGTCCAAGCCCGAAGCTCCGCTCTCATTTCAGATCCAAACATCCTCTTTTCAACCCTCGATTGAACAAAGGGTCTTCCCACAAACCAATCACATGTTGGGACTCGCATCATGACAACCATTCGCAGAAACACTTTCATAACAGGCACAACATTAGTAAAAACCACGTTACCGAATAAAACACGCGAAGGGATAGGTTCTCCGCGTGTGACACTCTCTCCCATGCCAGGCCGTGCTGCCTTCGTCGGCCGGTTTCCGTCGGCGGCCGTTCTCACGCTCCAGCCCCGTCAGCTCTCTCATTAAATGTTGCTTCGTAGAAGAAGAGCGGTGAGTACGCCGTTGGGCTCCGTGCGCTTACCAGGTGTGCATGCGACAGCGAGGCGCCCCGACATCCTAACAGCACTCGGTAATGACGTACAGCGGGGGAGGTTATACTCGTCTCCTTGCCGCCACTACGTCTCGGTCAGCCAAGTGGTCGCGTCCCCGCGTCGTTCTCAATAGTACGCGTGCATGCCCACAATGGCTTAAACTCAGACGGTGGCGCCTGACCTACCTCTTGCCATACGCTTTTCCGAGCAAGCTTCCCCCTTCTAATCCCAAACGGGGGTGACCTTGACGGCTCCGCTCGTGGACTGTGAAAACGAAGAAGTCTCCTTTCTTTCCCGTGCTCGGGGTCTTCCGCGTTCGCCTTCGCGGAACCGATCGGCTTCGCTAGTTGACGGGTCGGGGAGCTGGCTACGCGCTCTACATCAGCCGCATTAATTGCGCTGCACCCAACACGATGGTAATTGGTGCCTTATACTAACTGCGTCCCACGTTGACGCCTTCAAGACGAGACTTGCAAAAAATAATGATCACAAGATGACAACGCCATATATGATGTCACAGATAGCTGAAATCCTTCACGTCATCTTGACGTCACATTATGACGTTATCACATCACGCTTTTTTGGTCAAAGACTGATGGCTCTGGAATTCTCTCCCGACTCGTACCTTGCTGTGGTTACCAAACGTAGTGCAGAGACCATGCAGAAGACAGCTTTAACTCACTTGGCTTAGATGTCACAGCGACTGACCAAAAACAATAACTTGAGTCCAGGGAAACGGGGAGCTGTGAGAACAACAGTACCGACCGTAATAGCAAAAGTACGCTTGCAAATGTGTCGGTAATGTATGGTAGGTGTGCGTCTCTATTGGCGAATAATGTACAATAAACAATCGGGCTAAAAAAAGCTTCTTTTACGGCTCAGCTGATGTTTCCATGGCTTTTCTTTGTCTCAAAGCTGTTACGTGACTCAAAGCTTAGCACAATTGGAGTATTTGGAGCATTACGTTAACTGGTTAGTACCCGCAGTTGTTATTTCAGCGTTACGTTTATTGAAATATTGTAACGGCATTGAAATGAGTTCATAAATACAGTGGCTTTTGATTGATTGATTGATTAATATGTGGAGCTGAAAGTCCCAAAAACCACCAATTGATTGTGAGAGAAGCCTTAGTGTAGGGCTGAGCACACGGGCCTAGAACATTTTGACCTCCATTGAAAATGCAGCCGGCGCAGCCAAAAATTTGATCCCACGACCTCCGGGCCAGAAGCTGAGTGCCTTAGCCACCAGACCGCCGCGGAGGGAAAAGTAATAGAATGGCTTCTAAAGGTGCACACTTTATTGTCGAGGACTTACGCAGTTTCAGTTTGTGCATAGTTATCCATAAAAACTCGATTTGTACCTAATTAACAAGCATGATTATAAGTAACATAGTGGAATTGTACATTCATTTTTTGGTATGCTTATAGGTACGATTATAAAAGATGGATGGAATGCTCATTAATTGTACAGAAGCAATTAGTCATCCAATTATCGCCAAAAACGATAATTCGCTCTCGTTTTTTTTTTCCTGCTACAAGAAGGTTCCCGCTTGTGGTGCTCTACGTTCTTCATTAATGCTTGGCCGCTTTACCGGTCTGGTTTCAACTGAAAGACAAAACATAACAGCATGCACTAATTAGTGAAAAATTCAAAAGACTCGTGAATGTCGGCTTTATTGTTACAATTTTCTACAAAAAATCCTGCTTTAGAATATTAGCTTTAGAGTACAGATGTGAAACGCCCTTTTCTGTTTTATAACCATCGGCTTTCCTCTTCCGCCGTACCGAGTGAAAGAATGAACACAAGACTACCTGAAAGCGTATACGTTGAAAGCGCATATGACAGCGAAACGGCGACGACTAATTTGGAGCGATTGATATGCAGGGTTTAACATTCCCAAACTGCCATATGATTATGAGAGGCACCGTAGTGAAGGCCTCCGGAAATTTCGACCACCTGGGGTTCATTAAACTGCACCCAAATCTGAACAAACGGGCCTACAACATTTCCGCCTCCATCGGATATGCGGCCGGGATTCGATCCCGCGACCTACGGGTCAGCAGGCGAGTACTTTAGCCACTAGACCACCTTGGCGGAGCGACAACTATTTTGGAGTGATGCACAAAATTACAAGCACGGAACATAAATTGAATGACGAGTGAGTGATGTGGGAAGCATGCTGCACCATGAGGCTACGACATCACGCCGTAGTACTTTTAGACTTAGCAGGCGAAGCGGACGCCTATCACCACCACCATCAGTATGAGCCTGCCGTACATAAAGGCGAAATAAAAGCTTAACACAACTGCCGCAAACATTGTGACACTGATGTCATCAAGGTAGAAGTTCACTGCCACCGTCGCGAAGATGCCCACGAGATGAAACCACACGTAACACTTGCTTCAAATTTCGCGCCGCGGAATACAGTAAATAATGGTAATTTATTGCACCATCGTTTTTCTTGTCTAAAAGAAGCATCAGCATTAGTAACTAAAGTGCGTATGAGCACTGGCCCGGATCTGTGTACATTCAAATGTCCTATGAATTGAGATACAGCAGGTAATTTGTCCTACTTGTGATCCAATTTTCAGCAGCTTGTCTAGCGCGTTTTTTGTTCTGTTGTGTATCAGGAAGCCAATGATTAATCATGGGAATACGCTTTTGTCTTATAGCCTAAAAATTTAGGACCGGTACGCACCTTATACCCTCTCTCTCTTTTTCTTCTTCATTCCCCGCTCCCTTCTCCACCATATAGGGTAGCAAACTGAACTTAGTCTAGTTAACCTCCCTAGTTTTCTGGTATCTTTTCTTTTCTCTCTCTTTCAAAAAAGTCCCCACCTCAGTACCCAAACCCAGCCGCTGTAGCTGCCCTTCTTACTCGATAGATAAGCCGAAACTGGTCTTCGGTTTTATGCGAGTTAGTCGATAGTTCGTTCACGCATGCGAAACCAATGTTGTAAATATGCCTTTCCTCAATCATCAGACGCGTTTCTTCATCAATACCGGTACAAAACTGCGTCTTGATCACGTATTGACGTACACTAACTGCTATGGCGATCACAAAGCTATGGACACTCTCGGCTGATTTCTGATTTCTGAATTTCGCAACCTGTGCGTCACTGTCCCGATTTGTCAATGCCGTCATGTTCGTATATATATATATATATATATATATGATTCAACAAAGAAATTCTGTGGGTCCGGTGCAAATATAATTAAGAATAAAGGAGTACACTTACGAAAATTTGATAATTGTTTACTCTACGTTTCTACTCTACGGCCGAAACATAGAGTAAACAATTATCAAATTTTCGTAAGTGTGCTCCTTTATTCTTAATTATATATATATATATATATATATATATATATATATATATATATATATATACAACTCAACGTCTTAGTTGCCAAACAACTAATATTCTCCCCTAGCACGAGATAAGTGCGTGCGTGCACACAGGGGGGAGCCACAGGACGCAAAAAGGTCACTCTCTTTTAAAAACACCGGAGTGACAACTGTGACACTAGGTAGCTCACGTTCATCCGCTGTACAGATAAGCTCGCGCTGTGTGTATTTTTTTGCGCGTTCATTTGTCTGGAGGAGCGCGCTGCTCGTTTAGATCTTGTTGCCGTTCTTCGCGTGACATTCCAGCTCGTTGCCATTGCACTTATTGCTTCGCCCGTGCGGGTGCACTATAATTTTTTTTTACAGAATTTTGAGAAATATTATAAGGTTAGCCTCCGTCTAACTGTTACAACGCACGACACTGACTCAACAGAACATAGGTGGCACGTCGTTTTATTTCAGGTCAGCCAGAGCTTCGGCGAACCAGAGCTCCCGAGCAGAGCGGGCGTCACGAGACCGGCGAGCCACGCTTCTTGCTGGTGATAATGATGTTAGTCTCCGATGCCCCAATAACGATCTCTCGTGTTTCAATATCGGTTACTGCAGCGTCCCGTGTGTTTAACGCAAAAGCGGTCGCAGTTGAATAGGAATTTATAAGCTACTCCTGTATACGGCAATAATTGAATTTTTAGGTGTGGTTCACGAAAAAAACACCAGTCTGCTTTTTAGAGGCGAAGCTTCTGTAGAGAAGATGGTCAACGGCTGAATAGGCTCCATTTGGCTGGAATTGAATAACTATAGGAGGTACTGCATGGTTTAAATGACAGTTAACAATAAGAAGTCATGATTCCTACTGACCACAGCTGCAGACGCATTCCCTGCGGTATGACTTGCACTTGGGAATCAACGGCAACCGACACACTGATTGCCAAAGTTCCTCGCATGGTTTCTCATTTCGGGCTGTAAGAACAAGTTTAGACGCTGTTGGAGTAAATCTTCAATTAATGAAAAAAAATTCTCCTCACTGCATGTTGCCGCGTGAAATGCAAGCTATTGTGCACCACTGAAATTGGAAAAATATACATGCCTACCAAATGACTTAATTGCTTGGCGCTTCCGGAATTACATAACTATTTGTGCCCTTATTGTACAAGTACATTTTTGTGGTTTAATAAACACCGTCTTATATGGGTTATCCATGGTGGTCGTATTAACGCTAAACCACGCCTGTTGCCCTTAATGGAGTAGCGGGTTATTCAGAAGCTTGTTTGCTGGTTTTCTTCGGCAGGCAGAAAATGAGTCATGATTGAGTTTCGTGAAAAAAGAAGGATGTAAATCTCATTAGAATTGTGAAACTTCCCACGCACTGCGGCTTTTGTTTTTTGTTGTTAGGTATACAATACACTGGCGCATGTGTTTCTATTTTCGTTTGCCTTTAGATTTTCACTTTGAGCTTTCTTTCCACAATATATAGCTTTGAAATACCGATATGAGCCTTTTAGAGTATTAATGCTTTGGAAAATGACATTTGGGCTAAGTAACGCAGATAAATTTCATTCCAAATTTTTCAGTTTGTGATATATCGGCGTACCTTCGACTGAGCCTATTGGTCAAAGCCAACACTCTTTGAAAAAACCAGATTCATAGTGATGCGAAGTGGCTATCTTGAGAATTAGCGCATATCATTAACAAGCCTAAAAAATGATGCGTTTAAATTTGTGAGTACTGGCGACTTATGCCATTCTTAATTCGTTGTCAGGTGGCTTTGTTACAGCGTGCCTGAGAAAAAAAAACCGCCCTCGATCGATTCCCCTTTTTTCTTTCTTTTAACTCGACCTTTTCATCATGTCTGAGTTGGCACCTGGACATAACATGCGAGGATTTATTGGTCTACAGCAGCATCGTTAAAAAAAAAAAAACGCTTGCGGGCAGCAGTGTTATCCAGTGCTGCCGGTCCTAGAAGGCAACAGTGTTCTAGAGCAGTGTTCTACACCCCTAAGATTACTTGCCCTGAAATACGTAATAAATTATACGGGGAGCCACTACCATGGTAGATCGTTCGGTGAGGCATTGTAAGCAGTTTCCAAAGCCTGTAAGTTTAGTCTTTACCCAAGGCGATGTGTTTTTTGTAAATTTTATGCCCTGCGGTCTGTTTAAGCTTTACTACAATAGAGCTGTAAACTAGAAATTATATGCCGGATGTTGATCTTGGCCCGAATGCCTGTTGTAGACAACGAAAAAAAAATGACTAAGCAAGTTCTTATCCATTCTCTAACTTTGGCTCTCAGTATAGGCTCTGAATGCTATTCTGAGCGCTATACTCTGGCGAAATATCTAAGCGCTTACCACATATAACTCCGACCAGAATTCCTCTTGCGTAGAGACAGTTCAACTTCAAACTGGCAGAGCAGGGTGTTTTTCTCGGAGTTGGGCATAATTTGTGGGGCTTGTCTGATAAAAAAACAAATGGGAACATTTGTCAGCAAAAGTTATTAATTTCAGCGTTTCTTAAAGCTCGCTGCTGCCCTTAGATCTTCACGCAGTCATTAGGCATTACTGGTATAGCACTATTTCAAGCAAAGTTCCAACAATGTTTACTACCAACCCGCGATTTTAACGAAAGAACATCCAGTCATGAAAATAACAACAAAAACAAGTTTGCTTGTGAAAGCATTCACGGCTGCAAAATTGCCCATTTGAACACGTAATCAATGGAAGTAAAGATTTTCCTAGGGCTTCTTTCGTTAAGTTTCCATCAAAAGAAAGCCAGAAATATTCATCAACCATTTGATGTCGAGTGGTGGAAACAAAGGCTAAAAATAACTTAGTGCAGCTTGTACTAAGAAGCGCAGCTTGAACAGTTGGCTCACAACATAGAAAATATTGAGAGAGTGCAACTGAACAGGGCACACGAGAAGGAAACAGACCAGCACAGGCGCCCAAACGTGCGTCAAACCACAATCTCGCCCAACAGTAAACTCTTTCAATGGCTCACAGCAGAACGGGTGGCTTTGCTATTGCTTTGTCTAGCATAACTATAATTTTGCCCTCTCACGTCTCTCTCTCCCGCCTCGTACTACGCTAGGCCTTACACGACTCTATTGGAGCTCTGTCCCGTTTAAGCATGCCGCATTTTCGGCATTTTGATTTGCTGTGTTGTGGTCGTACGTTGTCGCCATCGCTTGGCGTAAACCGAGCCAGAACCACATATAGCACCGCGATATTTAGCATAATGAGCGCTTACACAAATCGAAAGCTTTCTGCCTTTTCTTCATCGGGCGCCTTGATTATGACATCAAGTACAAAGTACTTCAATACCCGGGATTTCGTATGTGGTCGTCGTTTGGCGTAAAACAGTCAAAACCGCGCATAAAGATAGCAAAAAAAGTATACAGAAAAAGTGAAAAGACAGAGGAAAAAAATAAATTCAAATAAAGAAACAAAAAACAGACAAAACCGAAAAGAAGAACCAAAAAGAAGTAAAGGAGGAAAGAAAAGAATTCCAAGAGGAACAAAGAAGGCTGCCTAACTCCGCCCTTATTTGAAGCTTGACAGCGCGAAGTGGGAAGCTGCTTGAATTTTCGCCATTCTTCACTTTCATTTGTTGCTTTCGCTCCGTCTATAAGTGACATTTTGTTGATTTTTATTGAGTTTCTAGATCTTGCTCCTCAATTTTCGCTTCCTCTTGTTTACTATCTTCTTCTTCTTCTTCTTCTCTCTCTCTCTCTCTCTCTCTCTCTCTCTCTCTCTATATATATATATATATATATATATATATATATATATATACCTTTTTGTTGTGTGACTAGAGCTGGGTTCACTGATCAACGGGGGTGCCCGAGACATCCCGAAAAAATACCTTAACCACATGTCACGTCGTGGCGATTTTCACGAAGTCGTAGTGTTCAAGATGAATCTTTCTATTCAAGCGATCTCGTGTCCGGGATACAAATACCAAACTACAAGAGCTAGACGTTGAGCTCTAAAATCGTCGTCCGTCACTAATCTGACCCATGGGTAGATTCGTTGACGTGCCGTCATGTGGCGTCAAGCATTCGAGTGTTACCGTTGGTGGCTGGGTAATTAAAAAAAATGTACTTTGACGAGAAAAAATCAACGTTGGCGAGCTGCAGTTTATCAGAAGATTCCAGATTATTCTGCAAGGATGCCGGACTTTCTGCAGCAGTTCATGAAAATCAGTGGTTACATGCGTCACTAAGTCGTCACATAGAGATACGTGACGTAGGTCACAGTATATTGTACTCAATAATTGGTGCGCAGCACGAAACGCGAAAGATCCGTCATCCGATTTATCTTTAACATCCACAAACGCATCAGTAGTGTGTCTGTTATGAAAAATTCCAATGGTATATTTACACTTCAAGAGAGACATGCCAAAAGCATAATAAAATACCTGTATTTTATGTATAGTAATTCAATAAAAATTAACAATCATCATAATATTATACAACACGCACTGCGCAAAAGTTATCGTTTTCATAACGCGAAAATGATACAGGAATACAGCTGTGCAAACAATAAATTAAAAAGTTTTTTGAGAGCAATGAGCGCCTGAAACAAACTACCCGATAAAGTTGTAAATAGTTCCAATGTAGAAATTTTTATAGCAAACTTGTGGGAAACATCCACACAAAGGTGTCATTATATTGTTGTATAAGAATTGCACTGTTGCATGCGTTGATTTTTTGTGTACGGTCGTGTAATTCATTGTTGATGCATTTTTGCTGTAGTTTTATTTGTGTCCACTGCTGCTTGGAGTAAGTGAATCTACAGTATTGCTAAATAACAAATGGCCCCGTATCTGCATGTAATATGCAAATGTCATCGAAAGACGATAGTCTTGCGTGTGAAGAGAGTGAACAATTTATTTGATGTTTTACGCAAGAAAATGGGTCAATAGTATTCTCGAGGCGCTGCGTTAGAGTGGCTCGAGCGTGCAGTGGAGGCGGACGAGCCCCATCAGGAGGCGGACAAGCCCCATCAGACGTGAGACATGAGCGCCACCTCGCGGTGTTCTTGGAAAACGACGCACGTGGCTCTGAGACAGATGTGCGTGCCCGTCTCAGGGGTGATAAGGTGTAGAACGCTAAGCGACGGGTAGGTGCCACCACCATCGCGTCTTAGCAAAGCGTTGGAAACACTCACCTTTTCGTGCAAGCGTTGCATGGTCAGCGCAGCATGATAAGCGCTACGGTCTTTAAAATTACTTGTGTGTGCCTTTTCTAGTAAAAAAATGCACATGCATAATATATATGTGTTGTTATGGTGCCCCATACTTGCGCAATAGTTGCTTATTCTTTCACAATTGCACAAGTATGTACGCCAAATCTTGAGGAACATTGGTGGGCGTTGTGAATGGGCTCGGCCGTTTCAAGTACCCGGTGGCATTATTTATTTATTTATTTATTTATTTATTTATTTATTTATTTATTTGAATACTTTCCATGCCCGAAGGCTTTACAGAAAGGAGTGGGGGTTATACAACAAAAAGTAAGCGAAATGTTACAATTGCTGCAAAATGGAGAGTTTGAAGTTTGCAGGGTCGATGAGGGATGCGGCGGCAGCGGAAAGGCAGTTCCAGTCTTTGCTTGTTCTGGGAATGAAGGAATCACTGTAGTGGTTTGTTCGGCAAAATGGCACACCTACTTTAAAGCAATGATCGAAACGAGGTGAAATGTAAGAGGGGGAAGAGAGAAGGCTCTCTTTTAAAGATGGATTGTAATGATAAATTTTATGAAAAAGAGAAAGGCGAGAGCATTTTCGACGGAACGATAAGTCGGTTAGATTCAAAGTTTTTTTCATGGCTGTGACGCTGGCATGACGGGAATAATTGCACAAAATGAAGCGGGCTGCACGGTTTTGAGTGGACAAACAGACAAATGTAGAAAAGGACAGACAGACAGACAGACAGACAGACTGACAGGTCAAAATTTTTTGCGCCGAAGGTCCCCAAGAAAGACTATCGTCTGTAAAAAATTATAAAGGTATTGACATAACTGAATTCTTATTTATGTATTTCTCCATCTCTCTTGCTGTATCTGTATTCGTGTACCGGCATTCTGGTTTGATTCATTCCTCTTGTTCCGAAAAAGTGCTTGCGATATGTCATGCAACATCAAAGACAAATGTGCCTCAGTATCAGATTTTTTAGGTACAACTCACGTTTTGGTATATCAGTATTGGGATAAGTTTTTCTGGGCAGTGTTTCGAGTCCTATCTTCATAGGCATCATCGCTATCATTGAACATGTTAAGTACACACATAAAGAAAAACTCTTATGCTTTGAAGACAAGTCTATGTATACATATCAAGGACGAAAGAAAAGTGTTCGCAACATAAAAAAAATAAAAGTAATGGACGCGAAGCAATCGTAAGAATGACCACGAGAATGAAACTAACAACCGACACAGCACAACAAGCAAGATCGCACAGTCATTTCTGCCTAAATAATCCTTTAAAACAACGTAATGAGGTCCTCGGTTATTAGTTATCCTTGGAGTGGATGAATTGGCGCAGTGGCTTGTCATTCATGCATAAAAAAATAGTAATAGGTCTTTCTAGAATATACGCTAAATCCACCAATTGCTGAATTCTAGCTAAAAGAGGTTGTCCGGACATGGTTCCTAAACATCAACAGAACTTTTTTGAGTGGTTAGGATCCATTAATATAATGCGCCAGATGGTCGAAATTTCGAAAGCCCCTCACTACGGCGTGTCTCATAATCATACGGTAGTTTTTGGACGTTAAAACCCACATATCAATAATATACTGCACCATAATTACCGAAAATCAGACGGACCCTCAGAATAATGTAAGATAATACGTATTCAAGGTGTAAAAAAAATATTATCACTAACTGTGTTATTCAAACAAAAGCTGCCAAAACTTCGATTGCACTCAGTCAGTACTGTACAAAAATGCACTCAGTCAGTACTGTACAATAGAAAGAGGAGAAATAAATTATGCACTTACGTAGTTTTATGCTGGCAGTAAGCACGACAAATGCGCAGAGCACCATACAATGCAGCACAAACATCTTCATTTTCGTCATTTTCTCGGAGAAGTATATCAAACAGAGTGCCTTTGCAACACCTTCGAAGGCTGAATTTGTGTAAAATAGTTCAAACTGCACTACTTTTGCACTTGGGTGCCCCTGCGCAATCGCACAAAACGTCGCGCTTCATTGTTTCTGAAACAGTAAAACAAACATTATTTAAGAGAGCAATTTTCTATCAGGCATAAAGAGGAACAGTGAAAGGGTACTTACGCTGGCTTAGTATAAAAGTACCAAAATCCTGTCTGATCGACTGATTGATTGAGCACCCTCCCCCTCCCCCCCCCTACCCAGAAGAGGCACCAGGAAACAACTACACAGAAAGGGATAGCAGTATAGTCACTGAATGCAATTCTGACCGCATAAAATTTCTAGCGTTGAAGAATAGCCGGCCCTTTTGAAGAAATGCTCATGTTCGATGGTGTGATTAACGTGTATTAATATTACCTAAAATGAATTTTGCCTACGTTGTCGACACAAGATGCCGTAACCCTATACGTTGGTAACACCTACTGTCACCAGCACTGCGATAGAATAAGGCAGTGTGAGCTTTACGGTTCCACCAAATTCACAATAGAAACAAGCTAATTACGCTTCTCTTTTTCTGTTTTTGAGCGAGCGCGTCTGAAATGCCATTTCAGAAAAAAAAGCGATCATCATGAAGGTGAACAATTCCAAGATCACGGCAAGGTCCCTCCCTATTGGAGCGAGAACACTGCGTAGTATACCTTCTCTGAGTTACATCAGCTGCAATGCTACAATACTTAAGAAGGGAGCTTTCACAAAGCCTTTCATTGGTATACACGAAATTCGCAGGTGTAGTCTGTTTTTTTTATCATTCTTAAGATCAATTACGAGGTCTTGCAAACAAGGTCATCTTTTATTGCGATTTCTTTTGCATGGACGCTAACTCTCCAGTAGGATCAGCGTCGGCACTGCTCGGATGTTTTGTATATATGTAGGTATGTATATATACCAAACCCAGAAAGAACAAAAATAAAACAGCCTCGCTTTAGCTGTGGAGCGAAACTGAAGGGCACGCTTACCTTCGTTACAATTGCGAAGGCTGCTGAGGTCATTACTGACGTCATACCAGCTGCATTCGGCGCTGCTGCATATTGTCCTCTTCTACGATCGACTCCGGCACAATACTTTCTCGGCTGCTTATCCTCACCACTCACCCACTTCTATTGTTGACTTGACCGCCAACCTGCATGTTTCAACATCCAACTTAGTTGCGCCGTACTAATATATATCATTCCTCCTTAAAGAAAAGTCCACTTCTCAAGACGCTGGCTTGAGCACATCACCCATGTTCATGAATCATTTTTTTTTCATACGTTATTCTTAGTAATCTTATCAGATTACCGTTGATCGTAGTAGATTTTATTAAATTCTTTTCACAAACATTGTCAATGATATGCAAAACAGTGTCGTCGTTTTCTGAGATGCGATATTTAAAGCTGTTCACCATGAAGGAAATCAGCAGTGATTATACAGCAACAGCTATTGCTAGAGGCTTGTTCAAAAAACAATTTGCTCCCAATAAACCTGTTTAAAAACAAACGAACAAGAAACCGGGACATGTTGAATTTTCGCCAATTTACAAATTTTTGAATTGTTCGCTAGGCTGTGTAGTAACTTTCGGCTTCAGCGCCCTGGTGAAGCTAACAAAACGAAGACAAGAAAATAAATAAAAAGTAAATTCTTGTGTTGTTAATCAGTCGCGTCATTACAATTTTAGGTGCGAGAAAGTATTTCCACCTTGATATAAAGGTCAAGGAATCCTAATAAAAATTGTGTATTTTACAAAAAAAAAAGACATCTCGTGTGACTCATCACCATGATCCACAAGCGTCATTTTGAATAAGATCGTTCGAGTATGCAAAGGGAGGTTTCTACTAACAACAAGTGCACACGCACTCGGCCACGTTTTCAGCAGAGGCGAAATAAATAATGCCCACGTACTTGGGTTTAAGTACACGGTACAGACCCTCAGCTGCCGGAAATTTTCGAAGCCCTCCTCTACAGCTGCTTCCATAGTCATATCGCTGTTTTGAGACTTAGAACCCAAACAATTTTTAAATGCAAAGATTTCTTGGCGAATTTCGGTGACATTGAGCGTATCCGTCTATCCGTCCATCCATCCGTCCATCCATCCATCCATCCATCCATCCATCCATCCATCCATCCATCCATCCATCCATCCATCCATCCATCCATCCATCCATCCATCCATCCATCCATCCAACCATCCATCTATCCATCCATCCATCAATTCATTCATTCATTCATTCATTCATTCATTCATTCATTCATTCATTCATTCATTCATTCATTTGTTCGCCTACGACATTTAGCTCTCCTGGCATATTCTCCTGGCATTACGGTATGGCATAACATGACCGTATGACGAACATAATTGACTAGTCATAACATGAAAATTATGACATTTTTGTGATGAATGCTATGATTTACATTTCAAGAGTTTGCATGCTCTTCTGATGGTTTAGTTCACATGACATATTGCAAAACTGGTATGGTATGACTTGATTGCATGGCAGACACAAGCGACTGACCCTAACATGAAAATCATGACATGCGTGTCATGCAACAACATGACTACATGCTATGCTCATGATGCGCTCGCGGCCGCTTCGCTAGCGTCAGTTTCTTGCCAAATTTGGTACTACGGTACGTGAATGGTAGACGAATGTGTGTGACTGGTGCAAACATGATAATCACAAGATGCGCGTCATGTAAGAACACGACTACATGCCACGCTCATGATGCGATTGTGGCCTTTTCGCTAGCTTCACATATACCAAATTTGGTATTACTTGATGCGAAAAGAAGACGAAGGTCCAAACATGATAATCATAACATGTGTCTTGTGTAAAACTTGACTACTTGCTACGCTTATCGCACGCTCGTGGCCGTTTAGCTAGCTTACATATACTAATTTTGGTATCACGTGACGTGAATAGATGACGAACACAAATGTCAGGTGAAAACATGATAATCATGACATGAAAGTCATGTGTGGCATGATTTACGTTCACCTAGTAATATTGTGTTGATTTTAAAGTGGCATATCAACCCTAATCATTTCTACTTCACATATCATCAATTCCCGCTGTACGTGGGATTCATCTAATTTTACGGTTCCTGAATCATATGGAGAAACAAAGCGTCTATCGCTCCTTCGAATAATTGTAATGCTTGTGTCCCTGCAATGCAGTGGTTCGGCTTGATTAGCGTCACCTTCTTTGCGTTGTTCCAGCCTCTGTTTAGATATACAACCACACGCATTTCCACCACGCGCCTCGGAGCGACGTCGAATACGGAAGTTTTTCTGATGACTGTTTTTTTAGCTGTTTACCAAGTGTGATCTATGCTATACCCAGTGAGAAGCTCTTGAGAATAATAAAGATTGGTCAAGGTGTATAGTGGTTAACACAAGAAACTACTAGCAGTCTTCCGCTGTCGTAGAGGCAGGTCAACTTTGAGCTACGCTGGCACCTTGCACCTGTTGTTGGGCATAGATTGCGGTAGTGCGCTGATAAGAGAAACAAAAGTATGGAATAAGGACAAATGTGAAATAAAAACAGCGGCTGGTTACGTAGTAGTTTAGTTGGATTTGACCTAACTTGATATCACTATTGTAGGTGCACTTATCAAACACAAGTCTTGCGTGATGGGTCAAGAGAACAAGCGGTTTCTACGAGGAACGTGCCTTCGTGAAATAAACAACGAGGGAAAACTCGCATGAAGAAACTTCAGGGGCAGCAGAGCTCTTCATCGAAAGACCATTACCCGCGGCATGTGCTCATTTTCCCGTTAACTTGTCTGGTGCATATACTCAAGTATAACTGAATAAACACATATGGTACGCCCCAGGAACGTTGAGAAGTATGAACAAAGTTATTTTCAAAGACCTTGTTATATATGCTTTCCGCAGATACTACTGTATTAGAGACCGGTAAACAAAAGCAATAGTGTGTATGATATTACAGAAGAAATCGTTACCATATCATGACCTGAACATACGCAACGAACCATTATTACATCTAAAATTTTTACTGCGCATACAATTGAATATTATAAGTTTTGAACCTTGCTCAAGCACACAGGCACCGACGCAATATTTTTCATGGTCTGCTCCCACAGAAAAATCCCATTGCAGGGTGTGAACAAAGAGCAAGATTGTCTAGTAATAATTTGAAAGACAATGTGGACAGTTTCCTTTATCATAGCAGTGACCGTTCCGAAAAATAACTTGGAGGACTCCCAAACAAAACAGTAGTATACCTGTACTAATTGAGATATTTCAATTTTAGTGTTGCACGATTCTTCAGTTATTTGAAAAAAGCATTGCATAGATATTCAAGTGAATAAATGCAGGCATAGACCCCGATCAGCCGTAACAGTGGCACAGATTATCTGTGTGTCAAATTATTGTGGCCAGCTTATAATAAAAAGAAATGCAATGAAGGTGCCAATATGCAAGTCGCGTTGACTGCATTTTGAATGCAAGCGCGAATGCATTGCGGCAATGAGCCTGATGTGTCATGGTTATAGTTATCAAAGGTAGATGAGTAACAAAGAGTCAAAAAGCTGTGATAAAACGCTCCAATATTCCTATACCCCCACATTTATACCAAGTTCTGGTGGTGATTGTTCGATGTGCAAAACGCGCATTGGGAGTTTGCAATCTAACGAATAAATTAGGCTCGAGTATACCTCTCCGAAAGGTTATGGCTTATTTTCTGACGGAAATAACATAGTTGAAGACGAACTTTTTAGTTGAATAATTCCTACACTAATAAAAACAATATGAGAAAAAATAGCCAATTGGTATATTTTCCAATTTGTAGAAAACATTTGTTTAATTTCCGGGGTAATGCTTAGTCAATTCAATTCACTGCTTTTTATTTCCTGGAAGTATTTGACTTAAAAATCTGTTGCTTTATGTTGCGACACACGATGAATTGCGGAAATTAAACCCACGCACAGGTTTTGAAACATTTGTTTTCATAGAGTATTGTTATTGCTTGAGATTTGTGCACTTTTCAAAAGAGAGGTAGCTTATGAAAACTTTTCTAAAAAAATATTTGTGATTTGTCGTAGCATTTCGAGAAGAAGATTTTTCCTGTGTGCACAATTTATATCGCTGAAGGTTCTTTAAGCTTCTTTTCTCAAGCAATTGCACGTAACTACTGATAAATTACTAAAATTTGGATAAATGCTACATTGCAAGAGCACAGGAGGCCAACTGCCCGAACCAGTAGTGGTGCGACAATAACTCTGATTTTCCGAGCAACATGGTGCGGGTGAAACAGAGAGAGAAGCTGCCGCAGTTCGATGCGCTCTAAACAAAAGGAAGGACATAATGTGTTAATTATTACTTAACCGTTCCTTATCACGCAATGTATCACCATCAAATTACAGTTTTGCACGTAATGCACCAAAGATAATCTTCAAGAAAAGAAAAATATTGTACGCAGACTATCGTTGCAAAAACTAGCATAATTTTATTAGCTCGTGAATCGGCTACTTCGGTAATGTGAATCACTTCTTACGGCCCAATATTCTGGATTGTAAAAATTGATTTCAATCGGCTGCTCTATTTCCTTTTAACCTAGCAAGGCTGGAAGGAACAACATAGCATAAAACTCACTCGCTGTGTTCTAAGCACTAAACAAAAGAGCAGTTGATTGATTACATGATCCATTAATGACTCTTTTTTGTG